AATGTGAAACTAATGAGGAGAATACAAGCGGGCGAGGATCAGTTAAGATTACAAGGGGATCTGGACAGATTACAAGTCTGGTCTGACAAATGGCTCCTGGAGTGAAACTCAGTAAGTGTGAGGTCATGAAGGTTGGGGAAGGACACAGAAGACAGGTTAGGAAATTATAACATAACAAACATGTCCCCTGAGGCACACATCAATCAAATAACTGCTGCAGCATATGGGAGATTGTCAAACCTGAGATTGGAGTTTAGACATCTGAGTAAGGAGTCATTCACGACATTATAAACTGCGTACGTCAGGCCTATACTGGAATATGCATCGCCAGTATAGAAACCTCACCTAGTTAAACACATCATGAAAATGGAGAAAGTGCAAAAACTTGCAATACAATTAGCCCCGGAACTGAGGGGTATGTCTTATGAGGAGAGGTTAAGGGAACTCAAACTGATGACACTAGAGCAGTGGTTCCCAAACTTTTTCAGCTTGTTACCCAATTTAACATGCCACATAAAGCATGTTACCCCTTTCACAAAATGTTGTTATTATTGATATATATGGCTAAATTAAAACACTTGAGATATTTTCTTTTATTTATTGTATTTGAACATTGTGCATCTCTAATGACTATTACCAAAGATGTCAAGAACATCAGTGGGATGGATGGAGTTGCATACTTGAAGCTAGTTTAGGAATTCTTGGCTTCATACCAGCTTATGTCTACCTCGGCTGATGCTCACAGATAAACTGACAGTGTGAAATAGAGGCAGCCTCAGGAAGTGAGTGACGCGTACTGGACAGGTCGATCTGGGCTACTGAGTGACTTTTGTCCTGAAGCATACTTGTCAAAATACTTTTGGGTTTCCACACACTTAGCTATATATTTTCTTCTTTTTTAATACTGTATATTAGTTTTTGATTTTTTATTGCTATTTGGTTTAAACTTTTTATTTACTTAAAAGGTTTATTTAAAATTTTATATATTTAAGACAAAGTTAAAAAAAATCCTAAACCCGGGACCGCATTTTTTTCTTGATTTCAGAATTCATAACTTTTTTTCGTCACCCCCCATTCCCCCCAAAAAGGTTAAATTCCCCCCGGGGGGAATTTACCCCCAGTTTGGGAACCACGCACTAGGGGATAGGAGGATGGGGAAAGGGGCATGATAAAACGATAAAAACTGAGGGGGAATTGCAAGGGGATAGGGCTCAATGTTTCAGAGATGGGTACAAAAAAAGGGACACGATTGGAAGCTGAAAACCCAATAAATCATAGGATGTTGGGAAAGTTTTCTTTACCATAAAGTTGTCAGGAAGTGGAAAAAACGGGAGAGTGAAGTATGGAATAATTTTCCCATACATAATTTAAAAAAAGGTAGAAAAAGCCCATGAACGGATGAATTAGTACGACCAATGAAGAGGTAGGAAATAAAACATACTGGAGGTGATCTTGACTGCAGCAGAACACAAGAAAAAGGCAAAAAACTGAAAGTTAGGGGTACAAAAGATGAAAAGGAGGAAAAAAAGACAAAGAGATGACAGGAGAACCCAAAACCAGGGAAGAACAATACATTGGGGCATTGAATTTTTGGTCAAAGCGCACTCTTCAGGCTTGTTCCTTATTACATCATAGATTCGTGCCAAATATGAAGTTATTGGTTGAGGTTTAGCATACTGCATTTGCGATTAAAATTTTAGAATAGTCTTATTATGATGGCAGCGCAGGTTTTTGTCTGTATCTATTACTCTGCAGTATTTTAAACATTAAAGGAATTTTAAAGTCGGAATTGCGGGAAGAACGAAACCATAATGAAATCAAAAAAAAACCCAAAGTATTTATTTTCTTATGCCAAATAAAAGTCGAGAACAAACATCCAGATTGGGCCCCTACTTAAAAAGAGGGGTCTACCAATGACAACAGGAAATGAGTGAGCACTCAAGCCCGTATGATCACTTTTTAGCAAGCCGTAACCCAACGAAGTCAAAGACAAAATGAATTTTTTTGAGAACCACAGATTGGTAAATACAAGGACCTGACGTTATCCGACCCAAAAGACTTCAAAACAGGCAAAAAATGCATCCAACGCATTTTGGCCCCCAGGCAGACCATGGAACCCCGGGTTTTTGTCGGAACTGTTTTAACTTCCTTGAGGGGACATAAAAACGGGGGGTCGTCCCACATTTGCAAAAACAACAAAGCCCCACTCCCAAAGTGGGCATAAAAAGCATAGCAAAAAACACGCGATAGCGCTAACACCCCCATATCTAAAAATCTATAAAGGGCCCAAGAAGAAGCCCCACCCATCTAGATACCCACAATTTCACAACCCAGGCCAGTAAGGGGTTTTGAAACAGGTCGCTCCGTCTATCCCAAATACTGGATCCAAAAGACAAGGGCCTTAGTACATAAGATAAAAAGAAAGCAGATGTAAAAACCAGACTTTTCAAAACCTTTGACAAGTGTGACCATGGCTAATAGGGGACAAAATGCCTTTCTAAAGGAAAAACAGTAAAAGTTGGGAGAAGGGTTTTTAATTTCCTGGCAAAAGAACACAAAGATATAGTCAACTGATAAAGTCTGTGGCGGCTATGGTGAAAAGCTTTGTTCCCAAGGCACAGCCGCTCCCCTCTTGTTCCTCTCCCCCATATTACATAGACAGAGATGTAACCACAGCCGTGTCTTTTTTTGAGATGACCCCCGAACTGCATGACAGGTCTTCCATGCGACCTGCAAGACTCCCGGCGACATCAACCCAAATTTTCAATGGGCGCAGAAAAACAACATGAAGTTCAACGATGAAAACTTTAGTTTCTCCGATATGGTGAACGGGGAAATTAAAACTTATCAAGTAAAATCAATTTTCAACCTTTAAAAGAACGAAAAAACTAACGTCAAAGACCTGGAGTGTCATGTCGGAGGATCCACCTTTAGGGAACATAAAAAATGATCAACGACCCCTCTTCAGGTCGCTTGTTTATCTGTGCTGGAAATATTGTACACACTAACACAACCCTTTAAGGTAGGTGGGGAAATTTCTGACCTAGAAAATGTACAGAGAGCCTTTAGGCCGCAAACTGCGATAAACCACCTCAGTTACTGGGAGCGCTTTTAAATTCCTAAACCTTACCCCTAAAACGCAAAGGGGGGGGAAAATACTGATTTAACCGGAAAATCCGGAGGGCTAAAAACCCAAAATTTTCACACAAAATAAAAAATCTCTCCCAATAGCAAAAGTCCCACAGATGGGCAACATCCTTTTAATTTAAAACGGGGGCCACTAGTACGATAAGAGACAACAAAATGAGTGTCAGGGGGCCCCGACTGTTTAACACCCCCTCAGCATACTCAGGGAATTCCAATAGACCCCTGGCGTCTTCATGCAGGCATGGGCAGGCACCTAAAATCACTACCCGCCAACGGGTCGGTTTTGTACACTGATTTCTTGCGGCCAGCATTAACAGCCTGGTGATCGGCCCCCGATCCACTCGACGTTGGTCACAAATCAGGCCGGGGGCGTGCACCCGTAACTCTCTCCAGGTATACTCCGGTAAAATTGAATTTAAAGAGAGATTTTATTACCTATTCATTTTTAATCACTGCCCACCTTTGGCACAGAATCGAACAATTTTAACACATTTTGGAGGTTCTTTCGGGTATCATTTTGATTGTTGCCCTTAAATTCTCATTGGGTTGAGGGCAGGACTTTACAGGCCAATTTTGAAAAGTTTATTTTCTGTTTCGAAGACTGTCGCATTTTTTTCCCCGGGAACTGGAAAATGCCTTTACATCAAAAAATCCTCCCCCAATGGAAGCAAATAAACGCATGGATTGCCTTGTATTTGTCATGTTCATCGTTTCCCTAAAAATAACAAACCGTTTAGTGCCTGTGTTTTTTGGGGCTTGATGAATGAATCCATTTCAAGAGTTTTTCTTTTTCCTTCTCACTACCACTATCGACCCATGTACTTAAAATGCCCTCATGTAAATATAACTTTTTTTTTTGTTTATCTTCTCCTTCCCATATGACTGAGTGCCCACCCCACCGTTGTTTCTTCAAGCAGCTCAAAAATTGTTTTTTATTTTGCTTTCTGGCTGTTTGTCAACTTCAAGGACCTTCATTGAACAGTTGAAGAAAATTTTC